GATTAGCCCTGATGTGTTTTTCCCTCATGGTGCAACCCATGTAGATTTCTGCGTTTTTGTGGACTTTTAGAGGGAGGTGAATATAGGGGCTGGAGTACGAAAGATTGGGTATGGAAAAAGAAGATCAAGATCGAAGCTTGATTAAAGAATGGTGAGATGAGGATCGAGGGATAGTGGGTGAAGAGGGAGACGAGAGATAAATTGGATTTTGATGGAAAAAGAAAAAAGAAAAAGAGAAAGAAAGGGTTGCTGATTGGCTAAGCGTTATTGGTTCTGAGAGAGCTCAGTGTTGAGAATCATCACAACCTCTCTTGGTTCAGCGTTATTGGATAGATAGGTCTTTCAACTCTCCATAAAGGTTAATCCTTTTCTTTCTTCAATTTCTTACGGTTATATTAGTTAAATTATTTGCAATCTTTCATTTACTTCTTTAAATTAAATTTTACTTAGTGTTAATTATTTAATATTTTTTAGGAAATTTTCGGCACAATTTTTCTAGTTAAAGGGCACTTGCATTTTTTTTCTTTAAGCTCTTGTTCACCTGAATAGATTTGACTAGAATTAGAAAGAATGATTGAATGAATTTAAGATGATTTAAAGAAAAAAAATTGTTGTTTATTTGAATTGATTTTGGAGGTAAGTGAAAGTGAATTTGGAAGTAAATTCTTTTAATCTGTCACATGAATCAAATTCTACATTAATTCTCATAAACATTACTTCCAAATTCACTCTCACTTGTCTCCAAAATCCACTCAAATAAATAACAAAAAATTTACCTTCAAATCCTCTCCAATCCATCAATTACTCTTGCTCAAATTCATTCGAGTAAACAGGACTTAAACAACGCACTCATTCCTTTCATGGATATTGATTTTACAATTTACATTTTTTTTAAATTTACTCATCTTTTATATTATAATTTTATCAAAAAATATGTTAATAGATATGTATTTTAATATATATATATATATATATATATATATATAAAAGTAAAAATTAAATAAGTATAGATGCCAATGCATACTAAAGTTATATATACACAAGTTTTCTTTTTGTGAAGCTAAAATAAATTCAAATATATATTTATATTTGTATTATTAATTAATTTTAAATACAAATATGTTTTCATTATCAATTTCATTTATTTACTGTTAATATATTAATACTTAATTATACATTTAGTCATCGTACTTATTCTCAATTTGTTCGATTGATTTAATTTGTTTTTATTATTTTTTTAAATTTAATTTAGTCATTTCATTTTTTAAAATAGCATCTAATTTGGTTATTTTTCTTAAATTAACCTTAATGTCGTGTTGGTAATTTTTTTAAAACATTATCTAATTTGCATTTGATAAATGATCTAACGTCACCTATTAGACGTCGAACCCACACATATTTCACGAAAAAAAATGATTGGTGACACTTCTATAAATAAGTTAATGTTATAGACGTTTGATACGGGTGGTCCCAGACGTCTATATTGACAAAAATGTCAGCTCCTCCCATGCCAAAATGTAGTAGAAAATAATTTTTTACAGCTCTTAGACGTCGGACTAGGAAGACCCGGACGTCTAATGGTGGCAAAGAAATACCAAAAGTCATTTTATTTCGTAGTGTGGACGCCCGGGCCCCTATGCCGGACGTCTGATGTCTCTATAGACGTTCGGGTCCCTATGCCGGACGTGTTATCTCTCTATAGATGTCTGGGCCCCTATGTCGGACGTCTAATGATCTAGCAGGTAGGTGAAAAGTTGCCATGTTCCATTGCTTTAGACGTCCGGACCCCATGTCGAACGTCTGATGTCTTTATAGACGTCCAGACCCTATGTCGGACGCTTATAGCCTCCGCCAAAATTAATTTTTTTAAATACACATAAACGTTTGGGCCCCTTATGTCGGAGGTCCCTATTTGTGCAGTTTTGCGTCAATTAAGTCCCTGTATTTTGAAGTAGCTCAATTTGGTCCCTATTTATGAAAAATTGAAGCAATAGAGTCCCTACTGTTAAATTATGTGGGTGGCGTCAAAATTGTTGCCTGGTGGCTAGCTGAGGTGGCATTTCATTTGAAAAGTACGTGGCACGTGTCATCCCCTTCCCCACCCAAAATTAGGGTTTGCCAGATTGGGAAAAAAGAACTTGCGCCGTCAGGAAGTCTTTGCGCGAGAGAAGGAATTTCGCTGATGGAGATAAGGTAGTCACTCACGATGCTTGGCTGGTTGCAAGTTTGGTTGCACGATTGAGGTTTCTTCTTCATGGCGGCGTGATTCCTGGGGGGTGGTTGCTGAGTCTCTCTGTTGTTTGGTTGTCTTCTTAGGTTTTCCTATCTTTGCAGGTGCGAGGCAGAAGCTCGTGGTAGTGGCCTCTTGCGGATGGCGATTCAAAGTTCGAAGGGTTTCTTCGAATTGGGTCTCTGTGTGTGATGGTTGTTGGTCCTCTAGTTTTTCTGAGTGCAGGTGGTGAGGATGGCGGCACGAAGCGTCAATGGAAGATGGCCATGGTTGCGCGTGAATGAAGAAGCGGCACTGCTCATGGTGGTGGTCTGATGCGAGCTTGGAGGATGACGAGGTGTTGATGGCAACCTCGCGATGATGGTCTACGTGAGTGAGGCTCGAAGCTTACGCGATTTTGGGTCGTGGTGGCGGAGTGATGCGGCGGCGCTGTGGTGGCTTTGCTGGAGAAGATGAAGGTGCGAGATGCTGGTTCTACGATGGCGGCTTGGGCATTGATGATGCGTTAGAGAGGACGGTTGCCTGCGAGGATGGCCGTGATGGCGCTTTGGGCTGCCATGGTTGCTGGATGAAGAAGCTTGCGTGTTGATGGTGATGAGTGTGGTAGTCGCAGCAGCTAGGGTTTTGTTTCTACGATTCTGTGTGCAGGTTGGGGTGGCTTTGCGACGGCGGCTTGGTGGTAGTGCGGTTTGAGTGTGGCGGTGCTAGGAATTGTAAAAGGTTACAAAAATATGTGTTATGTGCTTTTCAAATGCCACCTCACCTAGTCACCTGGCAACAATTTTGACGTCATCCACAATTTAACGGCAGGGATTGTATTGCTTCAATTTTTCATGAATAGGGACCAAATTGAGTTATTTCAAAATACATGGACCTGATTGACGCAAAACTGCACAAATAGGGACCTCCGAATCAATTAAACCTATAAAAAATACCAAAGAAAAGGGATTGAAACTAAACTTACTCAAACGGAGAAACTAATCGGTCTAAGTTGAAGAGCTCGCCATAAGAATCACTCCTATAGTCTTGGTTCTTCAATCTAAGGAACAGAGAATGAGAACTCTTAGAGAGAAGTCAAAGAACTCTAGAAAAATGGTTTCTAGAGATAGTGTGTTTTAAAATGATGAAACTCGTTCATAACAAAACTATTTATATTAAAATCTTTTAATATTAAAATAGCCGAATCTCACTAATTTTAAACTGTCACTTTTAAAATGTCAATTTCTAGGTCTGTACAACTTCTGTATAAAGAATACATTACTACAAAAAGGTTGATGAAATCACTTAATATGCTTCGATTTCAAGAAAAACAAAGTCTTTCAAAAGGCGACGACACTTTTAAAATTTTTGTATAATTATAAGTTTGATTCTAAAATAACTTAAGCCTATAATGGTATATGCTTTGGTTTTTTAAAGAACCAAGATCTATAGTTTCCTAAATAATTTAGAAAATGTCACCTGTAATATTTATGTAAATATTTGTACAACTGTATGCTTTAGTTCTTTAAAAAATCCAGACCTATTAATCTACTAGGATTAAAATTACATTTTCAAAAAAGTTTTTTCATATGTAAACTTTAAATGAGCACAAAATTATGTTTTCTAGCACTCATAATATAAGTGTGTAAGATTTATCATATGATAAAAAATAAAATCATTCTGATAATATCTAACAACAAATATTACGAGCACACGGTGTTAGGTAGAGCAGAGTGAAAGATGAAAAATGGAGGTGAGAAAATGCAGACTTTGACATGCAGGCTATTTTTCAAGACTTTGGTGTGTGTTTGAATATAAGTTGCAACATAACTCCAATCCATCTTCGCTTCTTCATTTCTGACTTGGAACGTCAAAAATCTTCAGTGAACGTGATTTGAATTTGTGGAAAAAGAGAAAGACAATCACTGAAAACAGATTTCCGAAGCTGCCCATTGCTTTTTGCCGCTTTCTTTGAGTTTGGACTGCATAATACTAATCCAATCTCAAAGTTTAGATTTTTATATTTTTGTACTTATTTTTTAAAATTTGTATAGGATACTAATTTGTTGTTCCCATATGACTAGGATAGTCAAGCCAATTCCAATATCATCCATTCCCTCTCCGTTTTTCTTGAATTTAAATACATACATACATACATATATATATATATA